ACCTGGGAATTTATGTTAGGTTTTTAATAATTTTCATTCTCAGTATTCTCCAGACATGTAAACAGAACCCAAAATATTTTTTGTAGCGTCCGTCCGCCCGTTTGCCTGTCCGTCCGAATCCATATCTTTGTCATTTATGGATGGATTTTAAATAAATTAATGTAAATGTGTAGAACGCAATGTGTCATATGCAACTCTAGGTCTGAAGCTCAAAGGCCACACATTGACAGCTACGTTCACTAAGGGTGAAAAATGACCTTTGTCAATATTCATCAAAATTTCAGAATAGGTTAATATTCTTGTGCTTAAACAGAAACACACATAAGGCGATTTTTTTGTTGTTTATTTTGTTACCATAGCAACCAAGTTAAAATCAGCATTTTTTCCCAGTTTTGAACATGCTTCGTTCTCATAATATTATTTGTTTTAATTTTCAAATACACCAACTTGTTTTCCTTCCAGATTTTGTAATATTGGTGCTGAGATTCAAACACTAAATAAATTCATAAATTAAAAGTTTCTTGGTAACTTTAACAATTTTCATATCTTTTGGCACTGCAAATAAGCGAGATTTACTGAATAGCACTCATTTTTGCAATCTTGATTATTCTTAATTCTATCAAATATTCCAAATTCATGACATAAATTTGTTCATAAAAGTAAGTACATTGTTGGTTGTGTTCTGACAACAATTCTGTCATTCCTGGATTGGTTTAGAGTAATTTGGCATAATTGTGAACAACATGATAATGTGTCCTGTATAGGATGCAGATCTCCAGTTCAAAGGTCAAGGTCACAACGTCTCACGTGATGAATGTGAATAGGTCTATCTTCTTTTGTTCATAGCTTTGTCATTCATGGATGGACTCAGAATTAATTGTGTATAAATATGCTGCTTGTTAAGACAATCTCCTTTCACTCTAGAACACCTTGCCGATTATTTCTTCATTATAACTTAATCGATTTTGTGAAGCTAAATATGTAAAGTTTTAGAGCAGTATTTGCTTTTTTCTGCAAATTTTGTTTAAATGGCGATAAATTATAGCGTATTTGTTGACATTTGTGGACGATGTTGATATAAACCACTAAATCAAGCCCAAAATGCATTTTTTGTATCAAATTTCGTCTTAGATATTGACTTCCCTGTATTTGTATTGAGTGGTCAACAATCAACTCGAACTCGGACAGTGTCAACAGAATGTCTGTTGCATTTACTTGTATGTCTACCCTTCTTATTTCGTTGATCAGCCTATATTTCCATGTGCCTTGATAGCGTCCGCGTCAGTGTTCTTTTCATGCATTAACATGTTCGAATCATGACCATGTGACATTATATTTGACAGTTTTATGATTCTTGTTCTTATTTGGTCGCCTTTGTTTCAAATGCTTACAAAGGAATGAGTTAGAATATATACACTTGGGTAAATGTTGAAGAAAATGGCCAACATCCAGAGAAAGCGATACGAATTTGACGGCATTATTAGAAATGTAAAATATAATAAAGAGGGTTATAAAATTGTATTGATCGATTTATTCAAATTATTAATATTTCGTAATCGTAGTGTATTTAAAATTGTTTGATTTTTAAAATGTTAGTATACACCCGTTTGAAAAATGGGTCGTATTAAAGTTCCCGACTGGCGGTCTGGGGGCGGCGTCAACTTTTGTCCGGAGCATATTTCTACACGCGTGGGGGAATCTCAATGAAACTTCATAGAAATGTTTATCACATTGAGAAGCTGTGTTGCATGTAAACTAGGTCTCTAGGTCAAAGGTCAAGGTCACACTTTGATGTCATTGAGAAAACGGATATGGCCGATGATTTTTGGGAGTTGGGATTGGACAGTAAATGTCTTGTTAATGTTGTTGTTGTTTTTTTATAATGTCAGACGATATTCCAAAAATGATAGAGTTTTAGCAGCATCCAACGAACTATTGTTAGTTTCGTCAATGCTAAAATCAACAGTAACTTTGTTCCTGGAAATTGCCATCCAATTGATTTTATGCATTGCTACAACTTTCAATCAGTTTCTATGGTGTCCTGTTTTGGGCAGTTAAAATATCCCTGTTACGATTTAAGATTGACTTAAGTTTTGACTGTTTACGCTCGACTATTCAAAAAAGTAGAAGAGCCATTGTAAATATGAATTGTGACAGAACTTTGGCCCTTTGAACTTAAAAAATATACATTATTCAGGCTCTTGTTTAACTATCAAACACTTGAGAACAGTCGAGCTCTTGTTAATAGATAAGTTGCGAGATTTAACATTCTCTTTCGAAGAACTTTCACTATAGACTGTAAATAGGTTACAGTTCAGGCAAAAACATGCGAATATTTAGGTAAATCATCGCCAAGATTTTTTATTTTGATTCCATGAGGATTAAAATATGAATAATGGATTCAGTACGAGTCTTTCTTCGTTTGCTAGGATAAACAACAAATTGTCCGAGGCCAAGCCGAGGATAAATTGTTGTTTGTCCTAGAGAACTGTCTTCTTTCCGCCTGTAAGAAGACACTTTTGAAGAAATTACGGGTAAATGTATCCGACTTATACGACGTTTAAGTTTAAAGAACAGATAAATTAATAAACGCATTTAATTATAAATAGATCTAATTGAAATTTAATGTATGTTCAAGTTGAAATATAAAATTATAGAAAATATTTGCATGACCTTTAAGTTTTGGGCAGTGAAAGGTGTTGGTAAAATTGAATTCGCACGGAATTTTCGTGCACTTATTTCAATCGGACATAATTCACTTTCATTCAAGATAACAATCTTATCAACATTGAAACCGTCTCTGAAAATGTCTTTCGTCAATGGTATATGGATAAAGTTTTGAACCCCAAATTTGGTAAGTTTCCTTATTCACATGCTTAGCTTGACGCAATGTTCAGCTGTATATCACAGGCAAAAGTATCGGACCTGGGAAGAAAAAATATGACCAGATTGATAAAAAAAACCTGTGTTCATCTTAAAAGTGTCAAAAAAAAAACAAACAAAAAAAAATGTATATAATGACCCCCTTTAAAAATATACTATAAGTTAAGAGAAGGCCGGAAACTCCAGATTCGAGCCTACGAGCAAGGGATTCATTTCCCGGGCCGTTGTGAAAACAATTGGCCAGACAATTAAAAAAAACTTTTATCACTATTTCACGTTTATATAAAGCTTCAAAATGAGACCAACCGCAAGTCTCTAGCCCTTCCCGTTCATGAAATATCTATCAGGAAACGAGCGATTTCGTGCTAAAAATCCTTGGTAGACATAATTGCGGCACAACAATTCGGTACGTAAACATAGACTAATACATGTATGTCAGCTGACTACGGGTCAAAATTACTTGAATTTACTAAATAATATTACTAAATACATTAAGTTGGACCACTCACAACCGTCAGTAGCATCTAATACACATGAGATTCGAGTTTCAAACATTTACACGGTCTTTCAATCGCTTTCTACGCCATTATGCATCTTGTGTGAAACGTTCCGGTTTTCGTTGCTATTGGCCAATCAGAAGACTCGTTACAAAATATCGAACAGCTGATTGACAATGGCGTAGAAAGTAATCTAAAGACCGTGGAAAGGTTTGAAATTCGAATTTTGCGTGTATCAGATGCTACTGACGGTTGTGAGTGGTCCAACTTAATGTATTTAGTAATATAATTTAGTAAATTCAAGTAATTTTGACCCGTAGTCAGCCGACATACATGTATTAGTCTATGTTTACGTACCGAATTGTTGTGCCGCAATTATGTCTACCAAGGATTTTTAGCACGAAGTCGCTCGTTTCCTGATAGATATTTCATGAACGGGAAGGGCTAGAGACTTGGGGTTGGTCTCATTTTGAAGCTTTATATAAACGTGAAATAGTGATAAATTTTTTTTTTAATTGTCTGGCCAATTGTTTTCACAACGGCCCGGGAAATGAATCCCTTGCTCGTAGGCTCGAATCTGGAGTTTCCGGCCTTCTCTTAACTTATAGTATATTTTTAAAGGGGGTCATTATATACATTTTTTGTTTGTTTTTTTTGACACTTTTAAGATGAACACAGGTTTTTTTTTTATCAATCTGGTCATATTTTTTCTTCCCAGGTCCGATACTTTTGCCTGTGCGAACAACTGTTAATTTCTTCAATGCTAAAATCAACAGTAACTATGTTCCTGGAAATGACATGTTAAAATATAGCATGTTACGACTCAATCTTTTATTTACGCTCGACTATTCGAAAAATAGGGAAAGATATTGTAATTGTAAATTTTGACTATGGCCTCTTTGAATTTAGAAAATTCTACATGATTCAGGCTCTTGTTTTACTAACAAGCACTGAGAATAGTCGAGCGCACTGGCTCTTGTTAAAAGATATGTAGCGAAATTTAACATTCTCTTTCGAAAAACTTTCACTATTGACTCTGGTACTGTAAATAAGTTACAGATCTCGAAAGAAACATGCGAAAATTAAGATTAATTATCGCGAAGATTCTTACATTTTGATTCGCACGAGGATTAAAGTATTCATGAGAAAGTATAAGCGAAAGTATAAGCATGAGACAAATTCAACGTTGATTGGTGTGGAAACCGCGAAAAGTTTCTTGCGGGAATGTAAAATTATGCTACTTTATCTGTAAAAATACAGAAAGGCGGGGCAAGACTTTAGATGAAACAAATAGCATGCTAATAGGAGTCCTTTAACTTGCCCAAGCAGGACACCGTGTATTTCAACTGTATTAAATCCACGTTGAAAGTAACTGTTATTTAAAAGTGCCTTCTTACAGACGTAAGAAGACACTTTTTGAATAGCATTGCTGGGGTATAGTCGTATAAGAAATAACGTTCAATGTGTTGCAATCGACTTGGTTATAACTGAATATGCAGGCTTACCCTTTATTGGACTTTCCCATGGACCGTTAAGACCAACCATGCGAGGTCAATAGTTCAGGTTTTTATGTAGTATCATAATATTTACATAATTATGGTATTTGGACGGACATATAGTATCGGACTATTTGTACATGACGCTATTGCAAAACACAAATAATATATCATTTTTTTAAAGTTGTTGACAAATTAAAACGTGGATATTTGAAATTATATTTTTTTTGTGATCTGAAATAGTTGTCTCGTAAAAAGCGTTTAAACAAAAAGGGAATTATAGATTAAATTTAAAGTCATTGGACAGGTATGTATATTACATTTAATTATTTTGTTATGCAGTCTATCATGGTATACTTAAGATGTCTCTGGCTTAAACGTTTTGTTTATCTCATATTGATTTTATCTGCTCATATTTTATTCCGCTGGTGCTGACAAACTGATTTGTTTTAGATAAAAAGGGTTGCATATACATGTATGTTCCTACTAATTTTACAAAACAAATTTAAACCTCTATGGTAACACAACTCTTTCATATCAAGAAAGTTCTAGTATATGTGTGCATTTATAGGTACACAATTTAAGTACATTTGTGTACTAACTAAATACTTACTAATGCATGCATATGTGTACTATTGGGAAATAAAAAAAAAAGAAGATTGTCTAAAAAGTAAAGTATCTTTTAGAATAAACGCTAGCTTTTTTGTTTATTTACGAAGAATGGCAGTGTAAAAGAATTTCAATATTTCTCTTTCGTTTTATTTGTAGAGTTTATTTATAAAGGGTGAATCTTTGTCTGTTGAAGAACTTTGGTCGCAGTTCAAACACACACTTGAGGATGGCATATCAAAATTCATACCCACTAAAAGAATTACAGCTAAACCATCTTTGCCCTGGATAACAAAATCCATTAAAAAATTAATTCATAAAAGAGATCAGCTCTATAAAAATATTAAAAAACCAAAAACAAATAAAAATAAATCTGATCATGATCAATGGCTAAAATTTAAAAATTTGAAATCGCAAATAAAAGCTAGAATTAAACAATCATATGAATCTTACTTAGAAAACATCCTGAACCTTGCAGATGATTGATGATGAAACTAATACACAAAGTAAAGTTTGTACCAAAAAACTATACTCACTTATAAAAAACTCTAAAACAAGATTCACAAAGTGTGTCTCCATTAAAAGATCAAAAGTCAGGTTCTCTCAAAATTAATAACACTGAAAAAGCAAACATTCTTAACAAAACAATTTCAATCAGTTTTCTCACCAATTATACCACTCACACTTAAAGATCAATGTATACAAAAACTGAGACTCATGGATCCCAGAAAGTATTGTCAGTACCCACAAATGAATGACATCATCATCGGTAGGGCAGGTGTACTAAAGCTCCTCGCCAACCTCAATGCCAACAAAGCTGCCGGCCCTGACAACATTAGACCGATTGTCCTGAAGGAGCTGAGAGAAGAGATTGCTGACATCGTTGCAGTTCTTTTCCAAAAATCCCTGACCACCGGTAATATTCCAAATGACTGGACCCGTGCAAACGTATGCCCTGTCTACAAAAAAGGTGATACAAGTGATCCAGCAAACTATCGCCCAATTTCCCTTACATGCATCCTCTGTAAAAACACTCGAACATATAGTTGCCTCTCAACTATCCTCTCACTTTACCCCACAACATACTCTTTGATCTTCAGCATGGATTCAGAGAAAGACGATCATGTGAGACACAACTCATTGAACTTACTGATTACTTTGTGAACAACCTTTCAAATGGCAAACAAACAGATCTTATACTTCTTGACTTCTCCAAAGCTTTCGATAAAGTAAACCATCTTAAACTCTTAGATACCCTGCAAGAACATGGTGTTTGTCCTCAAATTCTAAACTGGATACAGTCATTCCTTATTGGCCGTAGACAGACAGTAGTTGTGGATAGTGACTGCTCATCTGAAGTCCCAGTTACCTCTGGAGTGCCCCAAGGCTCGGTCCTAGGCCCCTCTGTTTCCTTCTATATATCAACAAGTTACCATCTTCTGTCCTCAAATCCCAAGTCAGATTATTTGCAGACGACACTGCTGTATACCTAACCATCAATTCCTCCTCAGACCCCCAACTCTCCAACATGATCTAGACAATATGGTTCTGTGGAGAAGCAGTGGGACATGGAGTTTAACCCTTCAAAATGCCAAGTCATCCATATCACCAAAAATAAGACCATAATTAAACACAAATATATGCTCCATGGCCAAATCCTAGAGTCTGTTACAAATGCTAAATATCTCGGACTAGATCTATCTGCTGACCTTAAATTTAATACACATATATCTCGAATAACTTCCAATGCAAACAGATCCCTTGGCTTTATTAAAAGAAATGTCATCACTAAAAATGAGAAAGTAAAAGAACTAGCATACAAGTCCCTGGTCCGCCCACAGGTTGAATATGCCTCATCTATTTGGTCTCCTTATACTAAACCAATATTGACAAAGTTGAGATGATCCAGAGACGTGCAATAAGATGGGTTAAAAGGGATTACTCCCTCACTCTAGTGTCACAGCCATGCAGGAAGAACTGGGCTGGCGATCCCTTGAACATCGCAGACTGGACTGTAGACTGATAATGTTTTATAAGATATACCACAACCTAGTTGCAATTAATCTCCCAACTTATGTTCAAACCCCACATAGATTAACCAGACATATGCATCCCTTATCCCTACGTCAAATACAGGTATCCTCCGACTACCATAAGTACTCTTTCTTCCCTCATAGCATTATACTATGGAATAAACTTCCTAGTAACATTGCCACCCTGCCCAACCTGAGTCAGTTCAAACAGGCAGTGGTGGGTTTGCAGTACTAGTCTTACTCCCAGTGTTTTTAAACTATTTTATCTCTTATCATCTTGTTTCACTATTAACATTTTAACCATGACTAGAATACATTTTCAGTCTCACCTTCCAAGCATGTCAATGTTTGGACTTTTCTTTTTAGCTTTTCTCTTCACCTTTTACTAACAATCCGACGTGCACTAAATTCCTGCCTTTAACACTCGTAAGAGGGGTTGGCAGTATCCAGAGATAGATAGATAGATATTTTCACTGCCACGCGAAACCATCTGAAATTAAAATGTTTACAAAAAGTTTGAATCATGAATGACAATAAATTTGCCAAAACTTTAATTATCATAAATACAAAATACTGGAATGTTGGCCAATAAAATACTGTTTACAAATATTGTTTGTAAATATATGATACATGTACATGATTTATGTCGAATTAGTTTAACGGGTATTAAAACTATCCAACATAAAAATATTCATACCTAAATGTAACGGTCTATTATGTCTATCTGTAATCCAGATTTTACACATTGTTCTCTTCCATTGTAAGTAATGTTGTAAAAATGGAATGTGTAAAGGATTAAAGTTTTAACTTGACCCTTCTCTTATAGTTATACCAAGTTATATCTTCTTTGTATGGTTCTTATTGTATAAAAACCGTTAACAGTTAGCTACGTGACCTGTAATATATGAAATAAAAGATGACTGTATTTGTTTTGCTACTTTACCGATCTGGACAAGTTTTCCAATTTTGATTTAGGCCAATAACTTGATCATTTGTTTACATAATAAAATATCAATAACTTTATGAAAAAATGAGTAAGACATTTGTATGAACCTTGTTAATAAAAGGCAACCTTGTATTTGCTTACAATTATTATACCATAATCTTAAAACATGTGAAGTCATGTTTTCATTTTATTTTTGTTTCAATACAAAACTGTATCCACATCAAATGGTTGACTTTCTAGGCAAACGCCTTCTTTTCTTGCTTACTTTTAAGGACTACAGTACCAGAGCTTAAAAAAGAAAAAGAAGAACAACAAAAAACACACCCAAAAACAACATCAAACAACATTGTCTTAGACTAACGAGTATGCAACAAACGCCCATGATCAGAATAGAATAGTACAGAAATCCTATAATACTATAATATAAAATAATAATATACAACGATAATATACAAATTTAATATAAAATAATAAAATTCAATAATAGTATACTATAATGATATACAAGCAACAATAATAATATACTGTAATCGTATACAATAATATTAGTATACAATAATGATATGCAATAATAGTACACAGTAATAGTATACAATAAAAGTATACAATATTATTATATGATCTAATAATAGCTGCAATCTCATTGGTCCAAACTGTAGTCAACATAACTTTTTATAAAATCATATTCACGGGATGTAGTATCATATTAACTGGCTGAATTGGATTTTCCAAGTCTAAATATAGATTGAGACTCATATTCAATGACCATACACCGTAGACTGTTAATTACGTGTGTTAATTAAAAAATAATTGTTGCGTTTTGTTCTTTATGACATATTTCTCGATTGAAATATCATTACTTTACTGTTATACTTAAAGGCTAAACCACATCGATGAGTATAAACTTGAATTACTTTTGTATGAGCAGCGTTCTCGTAGTCGTTGCACGCCTAACACGTGCGTCTTTTATCCCGCGCTTCAACGAGGCAAAATTTGTACATGTATATAAGATTGTACTTTTTCGTGATTTTTTTTAATTCTTAGCCTATTCATATAATAAAACAATTATTGACGAGTGAGCCATTGAATATGATGTGATATTCACCGGCAGAAAGTCATATTGACCTCGGCTATCGCCTCGGTCAATATGTCATCTGCCGGTGAATATCACATCATATTCAATGGCTCACTAGTCAATAATTGTATAATAATATACATTAAAAGAACAATATTAATATACAATCATGGTATACACTAATATTATACATTATTACCTGATACCTTATATAAATGTAATTTGGTATTTTTATCTGTTTTCTGAAATTCTCAAACACGTCAACGTTCGCGAATTGTTGACCGGTCAATAGTTTCGACTGTTTCCCTCGTGTGTTCTGACGTCATTGACGTATAGAGGATTCCCATTTGAAGCGTCCATCGATCTTGATCATAAACTAGACTTGACGTCACATACTTTAAGTATTAAGTATAATAATTGACATATGTGCAAAACTATTTTTCATGTTCCTTTTTTCTTCTGCAAGTGCTATTAAAAAAGTTGATCAGGTAATAAAACAGTTATTTCATATGTGATCTGGTAACAGTCAAACAGTTGTTCCTCGGTGTCGGGGATAGTGATTGTTCCCGAATCACATATGAAATAAGTGTATAATAAAATACAAAACCACATGACATTTACTTCTCAAAAGTATAGTATTATTTCACAACTTCTCCTAAAAATGGAGATACAAGATGACCCTGTTAATACATGCAATATGTACTTTTCTGCAAAAAACTAACAGCATGTACTAATAGATAATTGATTTAATTGATAAAAGATCATTGTTAAATACTATTTTATTTGATTTCAGGGGAGGCAATATTGTCTGAAATGGAGCACAGAGGGAGGATTATGCTTGGTATCATTATGGGAGTTATGGTGTTCCTGATTGTTGGTTCACATGTTCTGTTTCTACAGGATGTAAGTACTTTTTTTATTTATATTCGGATTAATTAAAACTTTTGAAACGACAACTTAAAGTAGATATTGCTATGTTCCTAGCGAGATCATTTTTTGACATACTTTCCAAACATTTAGAATTAAGTTCTTCCAACCAGCACAAAATGGAGTGTTTAATGTCTAAAGAACTCAGTTTCGATATGTCATTTGTCTCTCTCTCTCTCTCCCAAAGAGCTCAAAATAAGGAGAGCAATGTTTAGCTTAGATTGACGAAAATATTTGTTAATATTCGGTTTATATACAGAATTTATTTTAGTTCGATTGTGTAGGAAGCTATGAGATATATACGCACTTTCGAATCCGTTCTGGAACCAACCGGTACTGAGCAATTAGTGTAAAGTTTCTTGCTCAAGGAAACAAAGACTTGCCCCTAACGGGGTTTGAACCCATGCGGCTAGCGATCAATAGATTACTACATGTAGTACGAAAGGTTAACCTCTCGGCCATGCCGCCACGATAATTAATATTATTGTGTTAATATTATTTGTCGTCCGCTTCAACACATGTAGAAGTCATGTTACTTGATGAAAATCTAATTAGGTAGTGAGTCTAGGGATACTGAATTAATATCTGGTCGCCAGTGTATGACTAAATGATGTAAACATACCATGAATTAAAAATACATATCAACGTTAATAATAAAACATACAGCGTAAATGATGCAAAAAAATTGTATGAAAGTAATATGAAACATGCTTATTTTATAATTATAAATTACCACTATCAACACCACTAATAATTATCATTATTATGATTATAATATATTATCATAATATGCAATATTAAGAAACTATACAATTCATTTTGAAACCAATGAATTGAAAATAAAGCTTTACTGGTAAACTAAAATGGTTAGCACCAGACTGTTTGGATTGACACAATGAGAATGGAGTTAAAATAATTTTCGCTAATGGATTATTTATTTTCAGTCAACTGTAATTGAACCCGATCCAGTCCAATCTACATCATCACAATATCAGATGCCTAGTTTTGTTGGTGTCAAAGAAGTTTTCAAAGAAGGAACACGAGAAGAAATAATCAAAGCAGCTAGGTTATTACACAATGCAAACAAACATGTCCGAGGATCAAAGACATCTGATTATCTTAAAGACGCATTATATGTGATGAAACTGATTCTCAAGGATATGGATATTGAAGAAAACGGTCTCTTTGAAAGGTCTAGTGTCAAATCTAAAAGTGTTTGCCCAGAATCTTATATGGGTGGTGCATTTGGTTTTCCGTTGTATTACAAAGGGTTTGTGGATGACAAATGCAATTACAGTGTTCCGATATCAAGTCTCGTTACAGTGATTAAATATGTAGACATGAAACAGAATGATAAGAATAAAACATCTGATAATTTGGAGAAATTTGTTGAATCAGTATATAGAACTGTTCATGATATAAAAACGTTGATTGCTCTAAATACGGAAACTACACCTGTAGATATAAAAGACAAATATCCACATGTTAGTATGTTACAGTCAAAGTATAAAAACGAAGGTTTTGCTCTCAACAGTTTAGCTAAGCAAGTAAAAACACCTTATGTTCTAATTGCAAGGGGTGTGGAATTCTTTACCAATGATTCTAGATTAGAAAGGATGGTCCGAGAACTAGAAAGCTTAAATGTTGTCGCAGTAGGAGGAGCATTCCGTTATCCAAATGGACACTGGCATAAAGGCTGCTATCAGCTGATGTATAGAAACTACACTTTAAAGTATATTTCTGGATACGACGAATCGTTCCACGAGTGCTTGTTCTGTGATTATATACAGGGACCTTTCTTAACTTCTTCTAAATATATGAAAAGTAATGTATTCAGTGATTTTAATGAGAACAATGGGCTGTATGAAGACTGGTTTCTTAGAATTTTTCAAAAGAAAGAAGAAACAGTGGTATGTCCTGATTCAATGTTTAATGTAATAATGAAGGACGGTGTTCAGTCTGATCACATGATTGGCTTTTTACAGAAGTGGGGCTTGTTTCAAATTATATCACCGACAAGAAAAACAATTACTGGTGATTGTAAACGTCTCAATGTTGCAGGTAGAAAGTCACTTTCATTATCACCATGTGCTTTGAAATCAAACAATAATGCTGTAAAAACTGTCATGCAAAAATGTGTGGAAGTTGGAATAACTTGTGAACTACAAGAAGGCACTGCGTTAGGAGCGAATAAATTTGGAAAATCACTGCCTTGGGAATTAGATTATGATATAAGGTTTTCTTTTGATAACTGTTCCAAATGCAAACAATTAGAGCAAGCATTTACAAAGTCAAAAGTAATATTTGCATCTTTCGCATCAGATTGCTGTACTCAAAAGCTTAAGTTTGGGGAAAGAACAAACTACAAAGTAACAGTAAATGGATACAGAGGTGATTTCACAGGTCATCCTGTAATGGGAAGTGATGAACTTGTTAAGTTAGGAATAGAACCAACAAAGGTGTTGTATGACGGGCAATGGGTAAATTTTGCCCGAAATCCAGGACTTTATTTGAGAAATAGATATGGTACAGAAATATACCGCCATGCTGAACACTGGTCTCATTCTGCTCCGAAAACAGGACATGGCAGGATGGTCTACAAACCAGAGTTTCAAAGTTGCACTACACCAGGTGCTCACAATTGCTTAGATAGGTTCAATACTGATGGGAATTTGCCATTTATGTATTTACTACCATAAGGAACTTGCATATTTGTATAAAATTTATATTTATCATGTGGCATCTCTTGTTTTTGTCCCCGCCTTTTCGAAGAAAAAAAGGGAAATAGAAATAGGCTCTGTCCGTCTGTTTGTCCGTCCGTCTGTCACACGTTCGTGTCCGGAATTTGGAATAACTTGGCACAAATGTTTGTTATGATAAGGCAACAACCAGACCCCTACCTCCAGGGTGAAGGTTGCACTTGCTCATTCAAGGTCAACAAGGTCTATTTGATGGTATATATCGTGTCCGGTCCATAACTTTTTTGTCTTTGAAGGGATTTTGTAAATACTTGCCATAATTGGTCACAATAATGAGACAATGTGTCTTATACAACAACCGGTCACCTACATCCAGAGTCAAGGTCACACTTGGAGGTCAAAGATTAACATAGTCTGTTATAGGGTATATTTTGTGTCCGGTCCATAACTTTTTCATAGATAAAGGATTTTAAAAAATAATTGGCACAAATAATTAATTTAATAAGACGATATGTCATGTGCAACACCTGTATCCCTACCTCCAAGGCCAAGGTCACACTTAGAGGTAAAAAATAATATAGTCTTTTATATGGTCTATTTTGTCACCGATCAAGAACGTCTTCATAGTTCAAGGGTTTTTGAACTAACTTGGCACACAAAATCACAATAATAAGACAATATGTCAAGTACAACACCTTCACCCCACCTCCAAGGTCAAGGTCACACTTAGAGGTCAAAGGTTAACAGAGTGTTGAATTGTATATTTTGTGTCCCATCCATGACTTCTTCATAGATCAAGGGATTTTGAAAATACATGGCACAAATAGTTACAATGATTAGATGATATGTCATGCGTAACACCTGTGTCTCTTCCTCCAAGGTCAATGTCACACTTAGAGATCAAACATTTATAAGTCTGTTATAAGGTATATTTTGTGTCCAGTCCAAAACTTTTACATATATCAAAGGATTAAAAAGGCAACTTTGCACAAATAATAACAATAATAAGATGATATATCAGGCGAAAAACATGGGTCCCCACCTCAAAGGTCACACTTAGAGGTCAAAGATTAACATAGTCAGTTATAGGATATATTTTGTGTCCGATCTATAACTTCTTCATAGTTCAAAAGATTTTTAAAATACTTGGCACAAATAGTTACAATAATAAGATGACATCTCATGCACAACGCTTGGACCCTGCCTCCAAGGTCAAGGTCACACTTAGAGGACAAAGCTTAACATGTAAGACTTTTAAATTCTGTGTTTCATTTTATTTCTTTAATGAATTTATTGTTGCATTTGCAGATCTAGCATTGATCATTATTTTGGACCTTCATACGTCAATCTTTTGAAATAGCACAATTTTATGCTTCATATAAAACTTCCGTGAGGCGGGGGACGTTGGTAACTCTGTTACAAATTATTGTTATATATAGAAAAGCAATAAACTATCGGATATTATATTAAAGGGGCCTCCGTTGGCCGAATGATTAAATCGCTTACATTGAATCATGTGCCCCTCTCTGATTTGGCTTCGAATCCTGTCAGGTACATATGAGGATACTATCCAGTGAGCTCACGAAAGGTCGATGGTTAGCTTCAGTTTTATATAATAAACTTGCCTGATATCTTCTTACACTAGTTCAGCTAGTTCTTACAACTTTGTAACTCAACGTTTTAGGGAGTTTTCATATACATTGTAGACAGGCAGAATTTAAACTTAATAAGAATTTCCTTAAACTTGGCATGTTGTTAGAATATGATTACAGAAATATTTTGAGCGAAAAATGTTGGTTGTTACTATATTCACTTTTGAGTTATCTGCCCTTGAATCTGAATTATTTACTTCTTGGATGTCATTTGTAAGAACTCGTGGTTCATTCCTTTTGCTACTTTTGTGTTTATTTTATGATAATATAATGTTATAAATGTGTAAATAAAAGCAATAAAATATGTTTAACTCACATTTAAAGGACAGATAACAAAACCTTGTGTTTACTACTTAAGTTTTTCCTTTTATTGTTGATCACAATATATAAAAGCATACAATTCCATATATCATTTCTGTTACAATTTTTCAGTTGAGTTAAGGGACTTAAAATTCTTTAAAAATAGGACATTTCTTAAAAAATAAAAAGGCACAGGTTTAGAGAAGAAGCGGGAAAAGCTAACGTTCTTGAAATTTTGCACATTGACTCAAAGGAAAGTAAGCTACATGAAAATTACATAAAATAAGGAATCGTTTACCTTCATTGTGAATTATATGCCAATGAATCAAGCAAAAAAACCCGTCCAATTCAGGGGCAGATAACTCTAAAACGAGACCGGTGACCCCAAAATTATGTTCGCTTGAAATGTTTTTTTATCGTATTCAAACAATGATATTCTTATAGATTACCATGTAAAATGAAATTCAGTAATTGTAGTTAAAAGGTTTGTAAGATTCGGTCTTCGGAATGATCTGAAATAAAATATCAACATCGATGACAAGATAACTCGAAAACGACGTCGGTGACCCAAATTATTTTTCGCTTGACACCTTTGTTATCATATTCTAAAGTCATGCAAAGTTTAAATTAATTCTATTATGTAATTTTTATTTTGCCCTATGTGTTCATGAGACGTCTTATTTTATTTCATTTATAATGTCTGTACTTTTCTACTTGACACTATTATCTCGAACGTGTGCGCTATTTGATGTCATGAAATATTTCTCATTTTGGAAAGAACATTATTCAGTTATTGATCAGTGTGCCATTGAATATGATGTGATATTCACCGGCAGATGGCATATTGACTGAGGCGATAGCCGAGGTCAATGTTATTTTCTGCCGGTGGATATACATAATATTCAATGTCGCACTGGTCAATAATTGTTTTATTATATGATTAAGCTATAACAATTTTAAAAAAAAATCAAAGAAAGTACAACCTTATATATGTACAACTTTCGCCTGTTTCGTTGAAGCAGGGAAAATAGACGCATGTGTCGGGCGTGAAACAACTACACGAACGCAGCGCATACAAAAGTAATTCAAGTTTATACTCAATTACTCATCATTGCGGTGTAACCTTTAACTATAATAGTTAAATCGAGAAATATGGTATTAATAAGCGAGCGTAATTAACTATTTACGATGTATGCACTAGAAGAATTATCCGTGAAACTTAAACAAATTGTGTTAGAATTTTTTTAAAGTAATTTTTAACAAATTGACTTGAATAACTTAGTAAATTTTTACTGGCCAAGATTGTTACGCCAGTTTACCTGTCGGCTATACCGACAACACCATGTTTTTTCTAAACATCGTGAAAATTACCTACTCAGTATTGGTTTTGCCAGGGTTAAAATTAGAAACCACATCGCTTTCAAATCATGAAAGCTCGCCGATGATTGGCTATGTGAAAGGTCATTAGAAATTATTCGTATTTGGTCACGGCCAGATCTAAAAGCGGAGCGTTATTTAGAGCTGATTTTAAACAGAGATTTTAAACAGATTGAGTACAATTATTGGCGGTCTGTATTACAAAATGAGAAGAACTTAACCGCGGTTTCCGAAAGATTAAAATTAATTAACCATCGTTGAGACCATTAATCTAATATGGTTCATCGTACTCATATTACTTGTAGACACGGCTAAAGAACTATCATCTGCAAAAAGTCGTGTAATTTTTAAAAAGGAATAACGTAAATTTTAAAAAAAGGCACAGGGACCGAGCATTGAGGGACACTGTCATGAAAGTAACGTAAATTAGGAAAGGAAGTCCCAACAAAAACTTTCTGGTTTCTTTTCATTAAATATTTTTTTCTAACCAATAAATTAAATCACTTGAAATTCTGTATTGTCTTAATTTGATAATTATACACGTATGCCAAACTCTATCGAACGCTTTAGAAATATCACAGGAAACCATACATGTAGATTTTTTGTTGTCAAAAGGGTTGCAAATTTGATCATATATCATTTGATTACTAACTTCTTTTGGGGTTTCAAATATACCCGAATCAAATACAAACATATTGTTTGTAGCTGCGATAGGATCAAGTAAAGTTTGTTAACTAGATGTTATTCGAGTTGGGGCATTTATAAAATTAGTCACACTCTTTAGTTATAATATGTGACGGAATTTATTATTGGAAGAATTGAATTGGTCTTCATTGATATCACCTAACAAAACTATATTCTCTTTTAGTTCAATAGGTATTTCTAAACATCTTTTCAATTAATTTTGTCCCAAAATGCGACGGTGTAGTGTGGCGGTCTATAAATTGAACATAATAGATATGACTGTTTTTTTTAAATTTATTTCTATCAAAACTGATTAAGGGAGAAAATTTTCTAAACTAAATAGTTGTTTAGGTCTTACAAATGCAGACATATAAACTAAAATTCCGCCGCAGTGACTGAATATATCCTTTTTAAACATAAAATTTTAAATTACTATCTTGTACATGCACGCCGATTTTGGACTCCGTAAAACACAATATCCATATCTAAAAATATCTTTTATAAAATCAATTTTCTTATGCTCTGAATATTTTCAGTTTAGAGGCATGTGTATGCTAGCGTTTCATTCGAGCGTCTAATGGAAATTGTACTAAAATTCTTCAGTAGATAAAGTCTAGTTTACTAAGATGACTTCATCATTAGGGGGACAGTTTCAAATCCGCACTAGAAAATCTGCACGAAATTCTCCAGCGTTTTAGCCAAGCAAAATTTAAATCAAAACCTTCGAAATGTAAACTATTTAAGAAGAACGTGTATTTCCAGGACATCTAATAACCCCTGACGGGATCGCTTGTGATCCTCAAAAGATCAAAGTCATACGAGAATGGCTACGTCCTACAGACAAGTAGTCTGTTCGAGCTTTTGTAGGAATCTTAATCTATTATAGGAAAATGATATCGTACTGCTGTCAAAAAGTAAAGCCGCTCATAGATTTGACGAGGAAAGGAATTAAGTTTAAATAGGGTCTAGAAGAAGAATATTCATTCTTGGAATCAAAACTACATCTATGTTCGGTTTCAGACGTGTTAAGCATAGATAGCTATATCCCGTGGTAATGAATGGATCTTGAAAATTCCCCAAACAATACAGGGACAGATCTTTAAGTCTACCAAAATCATACAGGGGTGGAATACCAAGAGACGAATTTAGTATACAGCTTTGATTGTCAAAAAAGTGCGAAAGGTTCCGATTCACCAGAAGTACCAGCTTGTTTTAGGTGTGGACTCCAAAACATCTGTCTGGAAAGCAGCAGAACGATACAGTCATCCAGGAGATATATACACTAAAGATTCTTTTTACACTTAAACCAGAACAATCGGAAATAAACACATAACTCCCAGATGTTTTCTTTCAGATGACTTTTGCATCAGCGTGAACCTGTTTCTATCAAAAATATACAAAAATACGAGAAAAAGTTCCGACACGGTTTTATTGCAATTAGTAGGGCCTAAAGAGATACGGAAAAACAATTTTTAAGCATTTGATTGAACAGAAATACGCTGAGCATTGAAGCAGAGACCGTGTAGTAAATGTTGTTAAACAACGCTTTCATTTGGTTGACATGAAAGATGATATTGCAAGAAGGTGCAAGGAGTGTGATCTTTGCGCACGTGCAAAACCCGGGTCCGGACTTAGCAGGGTCCCGCTGAAACAGTTCCTTGTTTACTAATCCGTGTCAGTTTTAGCTTTGGATATATTGGGACCAGTAGTCAAAAGTAAAAATGATCACGAAACTTTCCCATTAGAAGTTCACACCACTTAAACGGTAGCCGACAAGCTAGTAACGGAGACATTTTTGAGATTTGGATGTGCGACTCAGCTGCATACCGACCAAGCCTCTGAGTTTCGGTCAGAGCTTTCACAAATATGTTCGAATTACTTCATATTCAAAAATAAAAAAAACCCGTCCTTATAAACTTAAATGCGATGGGTTCATGGAGAGAATGATATATTCCCCATTATTTGTTCATTGCAACAAACGATACAAGTGAGAAAACACGATCTTTATCAATACAATTAATTGTGCATTACGAATAATGTTACGTTGAATATTTCAACTTAACAACCTGTAACATCTATATACGCGTATCTGTGTTTTCAGCATTTTAGGATAAAACATTTATCTACATTTTATATTTATATGGTTATATCAACAGTATACGACGTTGAATTTATTAGATGCTCATTTATGAAGAGTACATGAAGATAAATATTTCAAACTAAAGTATTTATATGTATATTTTTCATAATATTCGAGGTCGGATATTTCACCTATTGCATTTATTGTTGTTTTTTTTTAAGGAGTATAGATATAAAGTTGAATATTCAACCATGTTTAATTACTTTGCTATATAGATAGCAGATGACTTTATACATTTAAAGAGTATTGTATATACAGTGATTTTAAATTGCCTATGTATGTAATTACATGAATTTATTTTAATGTAAATGTGGTATTTTATGCATCGTTATACAAGTTTTATGTCGAAATTTAAATCCAGCTAAGCTCGTCTTACTCCGGAGATACACTTCTTGTACTCGTACGTAGATATACGTTGTTTAGATGACACAATTATACTATACTAAACTTATACATCCAGGCATTTTTTCTCTTGTTTATATTCAACTTTTGATAGTTTTATCACAAGAAGGTTGAGCTACGAACCATAGCATACATGGTTATACAGTATAGTTTATCTAAAGATCCTGTCACATTTTTTGTTATGGTTTTGTATCATAAATATAATTCCAAATGAAGATTTATCAATATTGTAAGTGTCAAAAAGCATATTTGAAAAGATATTACCGAATTTACATTTCATGTTAATAAAGGGAGGTATTTGGAAATTTATGTTCTATAAAGTCTAAGCCAAATATTTCAATAAGAAATGAATGCATATATTTTAATAATTACATATAATGCGGAGAAATATTTGTAGTACCGTACATATGTTACATACTCTTCGATGTTTGTAAATAGTTTTAGTTGCATATTAATTATATACATATATACAATTCCGCTAAGTGTGGTAACAACCTTCTCCAAATCCCTCCAGAGGCGTGCACGTCGCGGAGAAGGCACACGGCAGGTCAAGGTCAAGTCATCTTAAGTACCAGAGGTGATTGGTTGACCTGTCGTGACTAACTCTGGAGGATGGCGCTAACAATAGCCGTTTTATGTCAACCGCCTGTTTGCAGCCGTCACGGAACTTGATGCTTTTCCGGTATTGTCTTTCCTCCATCGAACGAAGAACAGGACTTAGGAAGATCGGCATGAAAAAGACGTCCCCGATGAGACTACTAGAGTGGACCGGCATGGACGCTGAGATCTCGGACAAATGGAATTTCCGGCGCCGAGCTAAAATAAACCGAAAAACACACACACAGTTGTAACAACCTTAATTACAACATACAGGAGTTTTAATTGAACTTTTCATGTTTTTAAACTCTACTTAATTGCAGTAAGTGACAATTATGACTGGACAGATTAAATAAGTTCTACCATTAAGACTTATTTCAGAAACTTTATAATAAACATCAAGACAAGCGATTGCAGTAGCTAAAAGAAGTAACTTTATTCATTGTTTTTTACGTCATCATTTATATATTTTATGAAGGATGATTATTTATCCAATCACTATTTTTGTGTCGTACATTACAGCAAAGTATTTGCGCTAGAAGGGGAATGACGTGTCCAGTTACAGGGTGCTCAACGAAGGTGTTTCTTAGGTTCTCTCGCCTTAACGAACACTGGAAGGAAGCCCACGTTCAGGAGTTAGACTTTTATATGTATTGCCGTTGTCGATACAAAGCTTTTTGAACCTGAAAATCAAGCTCCATATCAGACAAAATAAGGTAAAGAGGAAACGGAGACAAAATAAGGTAAAGAGGAAACGGAACAAAAACTACATCATTCCGGACATTCTAAAACCAACGTGGGTTTATCAAGCTGAACTGGAAAGAAAACGGTTAAGGAAGGAGACTGAGGTAGCCAGGAGGAACATGAGCACACCGATGGTCGACCAATCTCTGGCATTTAAACACAAGCATGTCTGTGTGGACGTTAGGGATGACGGCCCTCTCAAGAGACTGAAGCAACAATGGTATCCGTAACTTCGAATAGAAGAGGGAGGTCCTTGATTATGAAGACGACATGCGTGGATGTAAATATTCATTCTAAATACCGTGTCATCATAATTATTTAATAGGCTATTAAAAGCGAACTTTAATATTTCACTTCATTTTTATGATTAACGCTGTTTAGTAGATATTAAAATATCAATACTTAAAGCAAGGTTATTTCTTTCTTTTCAGTACAGTTAACATGCATTTCACAGAAAGACATCATAAAATAACATGGCATTCATCTTTCGCCTTTGTGTTTTGATTCGGAACGGTGCACAGAACAGCGGTATTGTTAAAATTATTCATCTTATGTCGTCGAAGCAATATCTAAAATACATTTAAAATATCGGTAAAAAGTGATACTTAACTATCTTAAATCGTTTCAACCCACTTGCACAAATGATATTGTAGTGCACTGTAGTACAATCAAAATAACATACTTGTAGTGTCATTATTTTTCAAAAGGTTATGCTTGATAATTATACGGTATGTATATTTAAATCAACTGTTGATGATATAGTAAGTTGTGCTTATCGTGTATGTTAACTATATATTTATAAAGTACAGTCAAATGTTTAAAATACAAAATTGTCTTCTAAAAGATGGTATAAGCAAATGGAAATTAAGGGCGTACTTGACCAGATTGATGTTTACTCTTGATATTCGGGTCAACAATGTAAGTAAAAGCTTTCCAGATATTTGGTTTACAAAAGGTTGTAAATAAAACAATTGCTCAGTGTCATTTACTGCTCACCTGCAATAAAAGGAATAAAAAAATAATTACAAAAAAAATAAAAATATTTCATATTTCATTGACGCGCCTATAGTACAAGGGGCAGGACGTGAAGTGGTTGCACACTTGGTTCAAGCGAGCGAATTGGTTGCAAACTTGACAAAATGGCAAATACGGCGTGATTTTTTGAAACGGGTGAACGAATTTTTGCCAGGCAAGTGGGTTTCTTTGTTATTTTGAAGTTCATTAGTATGTCTATTCCATAATGCAATATATATACCACACTCGGTTTAAGGTTTCAGCATCCTAGATTCTGTTTTGACAAAGTTATTGAAGATATAAACTGATCATGTAGATATTTTGAAATTTGACATGTGACTGTTCTGGTCGGTTTTTCTCCTAATTTATGCGAATCTGTAATTTTTGAACTGCATTTAACAATAACAAAATATGTTTCTGTCAATGCAGTACAAATGGTTTAGTTCGCAAGTCCGAAGATAACGTTCAATACACAAAAATATCTTGTTCAAGCACATTTTGGTTGCAGACATCTACTTCAAGCATTTTTGGTTGCAAACTTACTCTTATTCTATTGAAATCCATTGTAAAACTTTGCAAAAGGATTGTAGTAGTTTATATTTATTAACCTATTTTTAATGGCAATTATTGACATTTACTAGTATATATGTTCTTTTACTTGTTTTTGTTATAAATGTTATTTATACTTTCTTCTTTTACAACAAGTATGTGCTTTATGTTTCAAATTACATGGTTCTCCGTTCAATACTATAATCATCAGTAAAAGCCTGCAAACAAAATAATAGCATATAGAAGAAAAATATTTATTGATACTTCAATTCTAAAATATGTCATCATATGTAAAATGCAAATGAAAACTTCATACAAAACAAACGTATGTGAGAGTACTACTGTATGTAAGTGAATTATTTTCATCCTAAACAGAAGGACATGTGCACACATACGATGTTACTCGGTAAAATTTCCAAAGTTGATCATAACCACAATAAATGTTATTAGTCCCCTTCCGGTTTAACCGGAAGGAACTTTAGGTTTACCCTCCGTCCGTCTGTCCGTCCGTCTGTCCGTCTGTCTGTCAGTCCGCACTCGCAGGAGAGTAATTATGTGGCTAGAGGGACAATAGGTAACTGTTCTTTCTCTTTGATGTCATTCATTCCGTAATGCTTTTATGTGGCTTTTTTCTTTTGTGTGGCTAAAAAGAACAATAGAGAGAACAAAAGAGTAGCCACATAATTACTCTCCTGTTAGAACGTCCGTCAATCCGTCCGTCCACATAACTGGATCCCGCGATAATGCAAAAAGTACTAAAAATATTTTTATGAAACTTGATATATGGATAGATGGCAGTATGGAGATTATGTACGTCTTTTCCTTTTGTTCCAATGTTGAAAATTCTGGTTGCTATGGCAACAAATAGTCTGAAAATATGGCAAATTTAACACATAAACTGGATCCAGTGATAACTCAAAAAGTACTGAAAATATTTTTATGAAACTTGAAATATGGGTATATGGCAGTCTGGAAATTATGCACATTTTTTTTCTTTTCTTTCTATGTTGAAAATTCTGGTTGCTATGGCAACAAATAGCCTAAATTTCAAGATTTCTGATTTAAATTTTTCATCTTTTTCACTATAAGTTCTTTATTTCTTAAGATGTTTACTTCAAACTTTAGATATAAGTTTCTGGTCATCAACCACATCATATGTGACAAGGTTTACAACTCTAGCACAAAAATTATCAGTATTTCCTCCCTTGAACTTAGAATTTTTATGAAAAAATTGCTGTCTTTTTTAAGTAACTTCTTTATTTCCTAATGTATCTACTTCAAACTTCACATATATGTTTCTTATTATCACTCAACATTTTTGAGAAGGCTAAATACTCTAGCAAGACTATTTCCAGAATTATGTCCCCCTTGTTGTTGAACTTAGATTTTTTTCGTGAAATTGGTATTTTTCACTCCAACGTCTTCATTCCTTATAGGATTTACTTTAAAATCCCACAGCGTAATAATATGACAAGGTTGTAAACACATAATTTCCTTACTAGGCAGGGAAACTTAACACATTACTGTGGCCCATCAGAATGTTGCTGGGGTTCTAACCGGTAGGGGACTTATGGATTGCTTGCAATACTATGATAATTGCTTGTTTTGTTTGTTTCGTATGTAAAGATCAGCAGTTGCTTTGGACATAAAGTATGTAAATGTACTTATAAACCAAAAGTTAAAATGACATGCTTGTTTACAATATTTCGGATTTGATGTACATATCATATATGTCAATTGGTATTCTAAAAATTATTTTTTTTAACTATTAGATCATAATATACCGATAACTGATATACTATTGGTAATTTACATTGACTGATATGTGACAAAACTACTTAAAGTCATTGTTCGAGTTTGGAAGATGTTTCGATTGGTCAATAATATGGAACAATTTAAAGAAACATGTGAATAATGCCCTTGTGTCAATGTTAATATAGTTTGTATCTACTATACAATCAAATTTATTTCAAATCTCAAAAAAAGAACAATAATGAAAGCTGTTTGTTGCTATTTTTTCTTCTTTTCCTTTACTGTTTATAATGCCAAGAAAAAAAGTCCTAAAACTATGTAAAAAGAAAAGAAGTATATCGAGGAGAAAAAAATGATGAAGATAAACACAACTGAACTTCAATTTAGCATATTGTGTTTTATATCTATTTGAAAGAGCCTGGGTTAGGATATATCTGCACGCATGCACAATTTGTATATATATTTCTTATTAGATGAACGGGTATAATTGCCTTAATATTGCTAATTATTTAAAAAAAAAAGATAAGTTATTCCTCGCTAAAAATATGTATGCCACATTATTGACACAAAAGTTTGCAACCAAAAATGCTTGAAGTATAAGTCTGCAACCAAAATGTGCTTGAACAATATATTTTTGTGTATTGAATGTTATCTTCGGACTTGCGAACTAAACCATTTGTACAGCATTGACAGAAACATATTTTGTTATTGTTAAATGCAGTTCAAAACTTACAAATTCAAATAAATTAGGAGAAAACCCGACCAGAACAGTCACATGTCAAATTTCAAAATATCTACATGATCAGTTTATATCTTCAATAACTTTGTCAAAACAGAATCTAGAATGCTGAAACTTTTAATCGAGTGTGGCATATATATTGCATTATGGAAAAGACACACTAATGAACTTCAAAATCACTAAGAAACCCACTTGCCTGGCAAAAATTCGTTCACCCGTTTCAAAAATTCACGCCGTGTTTGCCATTTTGTTAAGTTTGCAACCAATTCGCTCGTTTGAACCAAGTGTGCAATCACTTCACGTCCTGCCCCTTGTAGTATAACGATAACATTTAGCGCTCTTTTCACTATCTTTTTTATAACGCTCATGACGTCACGTCAAAATATATGCACGGCCGTGCAATACCCTATTTACGGAGTCACAAAATCAGCACGGGTGTATGATAATATAATATTAACGTACGAGAATACTGCATTTCGGTCATACCGAGGAAAATGCTGATAAGTGAAGGATATTATATTATTTAATACTTATTTACTTTGAACCAATGTATTCAGTCGTAGAAATTCGTTAGCACTGAAGGGGGGGGGGCAATATGGCCCCTTTTAATAAAAATTTGAAAATGTATGGCCCCTTTTTGGGAAACTTATGGCCCCAAACTTATGGCCACATTTTAAAAGTGGATATTGAAACTTATGGCCTGAAACGTATTGGCCTTTCATTGATGGATAGAGAACACTTTTACCATTTTGTAGGATAACAATATAATGAGAATATTGTGTTAAAAAACCAAAAACAAAATGAAAACTTTTATAAACTGTGTTGACATGTATATATTTTGATCTACTACACTTCAAGTAAACAAATTTAAATTTCAGGAATATGTATACATGTGTACATGAGATCAAATAAACTTTACTGCACTGTACAGAATATATATTTTGTTAAACTTATATCTTTTTAATAAATAAGTTGACCATATATGAAAGATATATTCTTTCGGGAAGAATTGTGTTGGTTCTAAAACGAAACTTTTCTTTATTATTTTTCTATTTTTTATATTTTAAACAGTACTTCAGTATCCTACTGCTTAAATATTCGCTGCTCAGGGTTTTGCTGCACTATGTGCTCACTAGTTTACTGTTCAGTGTTCTGTTCCGTACTATGTGGTTCAGTACTGGTCTGTTGGAAAAACTGGTCAGACCAGTACTGAACCAAAAAGTACAGAATAGCACACTGACTAGCAAACCAGTGAGCACACTGAGCAACAGTGAGCAGCAAACCACAAGTTTCCCAAAAAGTGGCCATATATTTTCAATTTTTATATGGAGCCATATTGCCCCCCACCTTCACTACTTTCGTTATTTAAGATGTTCAGAACACTATTAAAGCATGTGTTTATTTAGTTATAATTTACGATTTAAAAGATTTATCGTATAGTTATCAATGATATTTTAATTTTATTTATTATATATCCAAAATGTAAAGTTTAAAACAATACGGATAAAAATAGCGGGAAAAAAGAATGAAGTGATGCCTTTTCCAGTTTACATTGCAATTGTTTATTAACAAAACTGTAATAAATAATTGAAGAGAAATATCAACCGGTTTCACCCGTTAAAGGGATCTTCAAGATAATGACGTTAATAACGTCGCTTGGTAACGACGTCAAAACAGTGTAAAGGGACGTTACTCTTATAACGTTTTAAAGGGACATAATAATAAGCTATAATATTATTGTTATATATATATCAAAGTTATTTTGAATTCAATTCTGGTTTAAGAACGTTTATTAAAACAGTTTCTTTCATTCTTCTTTTGAATGTGTCTGGTTCTCGCATTTTATAGATTGGCATTATATTAAACTTTGGAGTGATGTCTTTTGCGCAAAATGGCAATGTGTCGACTGACTGGTAATAATGCATTGTCTGGATTTCGTATATGTTGGTTGTGTAATGTTACTCGATTTCTTAAATTTGAAGTTTCTCCAATATAATCTTTGGAACAACCATTACATTTCAATGCATAAATTACATTTCTAATGTCGCATGATCCTGAGAATTTGACTTTAAATTCGCGGCCATTCTTGAAATGGTATGTATTTCCTTCTATCATGTGTTTGCACAGGCCGCATTTTAAACTGCTGCATCTTTTTATTTTATTCTTTCTCAGTGTTGAAGAAAATCGTGCCCTGGTCAAAAGTTTTTTCAGATTAGCCGGTTAATCTGAAAAAACTTTTGACCAGGGCACGATTTTCTTCAACACTGAGAAAGAATAAAATAAAAAGATGCAGCAGTTTAAAATGCGGCCTGTGCAAACACATGATAGAAGGAAATACATACCATTTCAAGAATGGCCGCGAATTTAAAGTCAAATTCTCAGGATCATGCGACATTAGAAATGTAATTTATGCATTGAAATGTAATGGTTGTTCCAAAGATTATATTGGAGAAACTTCAAATTTAAGAAATCGAGTAACATTACACAACCAACATATACGAAATCCAGACAATGCATTATTACCAGTCAGTCGACACATTGCCATTTTGCGCAAAAGACATCACTCCAAAGTTTAATATAATGCCAATCTATAAAATGCGAGAACCAGACACATTCAAAAGAAGAATGAAAGAAACTGTTTTAATAAACGTTCTTAAACCAGAATTGAATTCAAAATAACTTTGATATATATATAACAATAATATTATAGCTTATATATATATATATTGTTTTATGATATAAACAAGCCATCAAATGACATAACAGTAAGACCTAGACGTATAACGTCAAAGATTTTGTAAGAGTTATGGCCCTTTTATGATTTTTATTTTTAAAGTTTGTCTGGTCGAGTCTTATACTTCTGATGCAATTTCAATGCAACTTTACAAGATTGATCTGTAGCTCAATCTTTTGCGCATATTTTACATGGGTTTTCCGCTCGAAGATTTCTGGCCAAGTTATGGCCCTTCAATAAAAAAGTGTTTTGTTTGTGTTGCTAGCTTTACATAGGCTTGTCCGGACTACACCTCAGAAACTACTGGTGCAATTGCATCAAAACTTAAGAATAATTAGTACCAACTCAAGTTTAGCATTATCGGCATTTTTCGGTTCAATTATTTTTGTTAGAGTTATGGCCATTTATTTAATTTCATTTCAAAAGAAAACTTATCTCACTTCATATGTTATGTAAAGACAACGTTTCATTTCGCGTAGATTTGAGAATACTGAAATTTTCTAGAGACATTAAAATCTTTGGTAGAGTAAAATCTACAATGGGAACCAGCCACAACTACACTGTTGAGACTGTCAAAGATATGAATGTTAAGTTACAAGATGATGAACAACTTGTGATATATCTGGCTCATGTTTGATAGAAGATGGAATGCTGTTATTAGCTGATTACAAAAATAAAAAGCTTAAGCGCGTTAATATCGAAACTATGACTGTTGATAGTTCCTGTAGTTTTGACCATAAGCCATGGGGTGTATGCTGTACCAGTAAAGACGAAGCAGCCGTTACCTTTTCTTCGCCTGAGAGTATTCAGTTTGTCTCAATCGGTACTGAACTAACACCTACAAGAAAAGTTAACATTAATCATAACTGTGTAGGAATTTATTTTAACGATGATAAGCTATATACCAATGATAATGCCCAAACGTTATATATACATGATATGTGCGGTAATGAACTTAGGAAATCATAGGCAATAATCTGTTAAGCTTTGTTCGAGAAATGGACATCAGTGATTCCATGCAGTGATAAAAACAGTGCGACAAACGTGAATTTGTATTTTTGTTGTTATTTTGTACTTTCGAGTTGTCGCCCTTACACCGTGGCAAAACGAAGTAACGACATGGCAGAAATCAGCCACCATAGTCTAGTATTAAAGCAGTCGATAGGAAGTTTTCAATCAATCCAAAACCTTTTAATAATAAAATAAAATGAATGAATGATAAATAAATAAATAATTCTTTTATTTTCTTTGATAGCTCAGATGCTCCGGCGTTTAACTATTGCAATTATATTCTTTGCAACTACTGGTCCATTATAACTTACTTGTGTTCTTCCTATTGCTATTTATGCTATTTAAACTTGTTAAACCCAAAGTCAAAATTAGAAAACAAATAAGATAAGGTTAAAATGAATACATTTTCGTGTAAATAAGTATGTTGTTAACGACTAAGGTAGAATGTCATGCAACATTTAGACACGCTTGGTTCAGGAAACAAACTACTGTGTTATACTTACTTCCTTTCGGGAATCATGTTTTCTGATACGGGAGATAAAGACATCCTTTGACGCTTAATTCAAAAACAAAAAGTGAAGGTTTTTATCAACGAATTTAAGTGATGGCTAATCTCGACAAAATTAAGTGCTTTCAAGGAAATGAAGATAAATCTTAATTTAATTTTTCTTTGTTCTTCAGCGACAGCAACATTGTTAATCATGGAGATGACGTGGAAACTTGTGCTTATCGTCAATGTGGGAATTTTGGTACTTTATACGATTGGTTTAGGTATACTGTCCGTTCAGGAAGTTAGTATATGTATATCTTTTTTATACTTAATCTGCCATGTCCTGCTAGTAGTCCGAATGCGTTTCATCATATGATTTGAATGTGTCTGCCAAATAAAAGAGTAATTGCACGAGGTTCTACTACTGGTTACAAAAATTTAAATACTGTGGCAGACAATTTTCTAAATTTGCTCCGAAATGGAGAGCCTTTTCTCTTTATACTAAGAATTAACTAGAACGACCCCCTGGCTGTGCGCTTGTAATATGTGTTGTTTTGGTTGTCAACTATATTAATATGTAAAATCCATTCTTTTTTTGAAGGGGTTGCAAAATATCTTTATGGCGAAGTTAATAATTAGTTTCTGAAAAGTAGGTAAATGTTGATTTAGATTCCAAAAATCACTCGATTGTCACAAAAAGCATTATACATGTATGCTACATTGAAATGGTATGATACGTAAATAAGAAAATAAATAGGTCGCCTTTATATCAAATCTTGTTTTTACTATAACCTTCAAATCTTTATTTTGTCCTAGTTTACTAAATATAAAAAATATAACTACAACAAAATATGGAACCATTCGAATCCTTGTTTGGATAAACTGTTCGGTATGTAATAACGGGTAAAAAATTGTACAGCCCAAACAATTGTTATTTACTTTTGCTATTAAAACCTATATTATATTTACAGTCAACATTAACTGAGCCTATTCCAGCTGAATCTACACAATCAGAATATCAGATGTCAGTTATAAAACAAGAAACAAAAGAGAAAATATCTACAGCCGCTAGATTAATACACAAAGCCAATAAACATGTCCGAGGGTCAAAAACATCCGGTTTTCTTAAAGACGCATTACATGTGATAAAACTTATAATGAAAGAGTTGGCTGTTGACGAAAAAGCTTTATTTGAAAGGTCTAGTGTAAAATCTAAAAGCGTTTGCCCAGAATCTTATATGGGCGGTGCATTTGGTTTCCCGTTGTATTACAAAGGGTTTGAGGTTGACAAATGTAACTATACTGTGCCGTTAAATAAGCTTGTAACAGTGATAAAATATATTGACATAAAACAGAATGAATTAAAATCTGCATCTGATGAATTGAATAGATTCGTTGCCTCGGTACATAAAACTATAAATAGTATACACACTTTGATTGCTATTAATTCCGGAAGCGGTGCAATAAATTTGACCGACAAATACCCGCATGTTAGTTTATTACAAACAAAATATAAAAACGAGGGATTTGCTCTCAACAGTTTAGCTAAGCAAGTAAAAACACCTTATGTTCTAATTGCAAGAGGTGTGGAATTCTTTACCAATGATTCTAGATTAGAAAGGATGGTCCGAGAACTAGAAAGTTTAAATGTTGTCGCAGTAGGAGGGGCCTTCCGTTATCCAAATGGACATTGGCATAAAGGTTGCTATCAGTTGATGTATAGAAACTACACTTTAAAGTATATTTCTGGATACGACGAATCGTTCCACGAGTGCCTGTTCTGTGATTACATACAAGGACCTTTCTTAACTTCTTCTAAATATTTGAAAAGTAATGTATTCGGTGATTTTAATGAGAACAATGGGCTGTATGAAGACTGGTTTCTTAGAATTTTTAAAAAGAAAGAAGAAACAGTAATATGTCCCGATTCAATGTTTCATATGCAAAACCAAGATAGCGTTAAGGCTGATCCCATGACCGGCTTTTTGCAGAAGTGGGGCTTGTTTAAAATGGTGACAGCGGAAGGGAGAACACTAGTTCGGGATTGTAGAAATCAGAGAATTCGAGGTAGAAAGTCACTTGCAGCATCACCGTGCGCTTTGAAATCAAACAACAATGCTGTAAAAACTCTCATGCGGAAATGTGTGGAAGTTGGAATAACTTGTGAATTACAGGAGGGCACTGCACTTGGAGCAGCCAAGTTCGGAAGATCTCTGCCTTGGGAAAAAGATTATGATATAAGGTTTTCATTTGAAAGTTGTTCCAAATGCAAACAATTAGAGCAAGCATTTAAAAAAGCAAATATAACATATGCCACTTTCGCATCAAATTGTTGTACTAAAAAACTTAAGTTAGGCGGTAGCAAAAATTACAAAGTAACAGTAAATGGATACATGGGTGACTTCACAGGTCATCCCATAATGGGAAGTGATGACCCTGTCAGGGATGGTTTAGAGCCTACAAAAGTGCTCTATGACGGACAATGGGTTAATATTGCTCGGAATCCAGGACTTTTTGTACGAAACAGATATGGTAAAGAAATATATCGCCATGCTGAACACTGGTCATATAGTGGTATTAAAGGGGCTCGCGACATATTAGAATATCAGACAAATATATTTCATCGTTGTACTTCACAAGGTGCTCACAACTGCTTGGATAGGTACAATGCTGATGGAAATTTACAATTTACAGAATTACTCCCATAGTGCAACACAAATAATTATAACAATGTAGGTTAGCACATTTCATTCCAAATCTTTTCATGGATTTTCACCAATATTTGAAAAACGCAGCTTGGGTAAACGTGGTACTATTTACAAAATTTATTAAACTCAAGACAATCTTTATAAAGTACATCTCTTTGGCTACAAAGGTATAAAGATATGCAATTTACTAGTTAAGAAACTGTTATATTTGTTCATATAAACTGTTTATGACACTTCATTTGTTATTTTAGCAAATGCCGATAGAACATGCTTTCGTGAATTGTGTCACGTTTTGTTTCGGGTGTCATTTTCATACTGCTGTTAATAACTAATGACATTTCATGGATAATAGGAACTTAAAGTAGTACTTACCCCACTTGCAATAGTATCAAAGTTATTACATTAATCTAAAATATTCGATGCGGTCTATAAATTTTGTTCAGTGTTTTTGCGTTGGTAATATTTTAGAAAAAGATATATTAATGATAAAAGACTTGTGCACGTATGGATTAAATAAAAAATAAAACAAAAATAGAATTGCTCTACTTCAAGCAAATTGTGTTTGTGATTTTTGTCTGTCAAAGACATATATAACATTCTACGGGTAATAAAATCACGCAACTCAAGATCGTTTAAAAGCGTGACCGTGTCATGCTTCTTTGAAGCTAGCAACACAAAACAGATTTTTTCATGGGCCATAACTCGGCCAAAAATCATTCAATCGGGAAACTTGTATATCATGCACAAGAACTTGAGCTACCATCAATCATGTAAAGTTTTATTGAAATTTCATAGGTGGTATAAGAGGAGTAGTTCGGGTGAATTTTATTTACACCCTTTTCAATCAAGGGCCAAAACTCGGCAAAAATAATTCAAGCGGAAAATCCCTGTAATAAGGGCAAATGATTGACATACCTATCAATTCTGTAAAGTTTCATTGAAATTGCTTTAGTGATTTAATAGAAGTAGTCCGGACAAACTTTAAAAATATAAATAATAAAGGGCCATAACTCGAACAAAAATTATTGAACCATAAAAACCGATGATATGTAAAACTAAACTAACAACTGATCATTTCTGTAACCAGTAGTTTCTGAGAAGTAATTCGCACAAGCTTCAGTGTAGCTGGCAACTCACAAAAATAACTTTTTATTCAATGGCCATAACTCTGCCAAAAATCATTCAACTGAAAACCCGTGCATTATGCCCAAGAACTTGAGCAACCGATAAAACCTGTTAAGTTTCATTGAAATTGCATGAGTGGTAAAAGAGGAGTAGTCCAGACAAACTTTAAAAATAAAAATTATAAAAGGGCCATGACTCTGACAATAATCATTGAACCGGAAAATACCCCTGATATGCACAATTAGACGTGTTGCTTATTATTCCTGTAAAGTTTGTATGAAAAGCACCAGTAGTTTATGAGGGGTAGTCCAGACAAGTTCTGTGACGGATGGACAGACGGACAAACAGACGACGGAGAATGGACCACTACTCTGTAGAGGCGACATAATAAGAAGTCACATAACTGTAATGAATGATAGGATTATATACTGTTTAATTCAAATCAAGTAAATAATGGAAAAATGAAACAAATAAGAGCACAAACATGAATGTATAAGGGTATTTCAAGACAGGCACCGAGTTTCTGGTATGATTCTGTCAAATTAATGAGGTACTCAAACTAGATAATAATATTAATTGTTCTACGCTGACTGACTGTTTCCTTGACATTGCTATTTTTGTCTTCCTGATGGTAACTGTCGCCTGAACCACACCTGTATTCACCTCATCTATAAGTTCATAAAGTACAGTTTGTATAACCATAATTGATTTTATTAAAAGTCAAGCAATTATTTGCTCTTATTTGATAACATCCAGACTGTTTCGCAGCCAAATGACACAATCACTTGACACTATAGTCACTTTTGCTTGGTCATACATCAAGAGTACTAAAACAAAGATTTTTAGCGTTTAATAAATATTTTGTTTTCTCTTTGGCTAATTTGATTCTACCATTGACGGAGATAAAGTCACACACATAACTCAAAACAATGAAAACACAAAATTATGATTGATAAAAGTCGAAATTATCACAGTTTTGTACTTTCACCATCGTACCTCCGACAGTGCACACAATCGACTTTTCACCACAATGGTGAAAGGTCGAAAGTACGTTAGTTAAACTTGAAATAATGTCGAGTTTTCGCTATTGTGGTTTCGTTTATTCATTATTTCGACTTTTACAATCGTACTTTCGACTTTTCACAATCGTACCTTTCACCTTCGTAGTTTCGTTATTTCGACTTTCACTATCCTAGTTTCGTGTTTTCGTTGTTTCGAGTTTTGTGTATGTCGAGATGGCTCTAAGAGACACCGTGGTTCATATTATGTCCACGTCAAATCACATACTTAATAAGGGTTATAACTTTAGCAACCACATTTCAAGAATTTTTGCTCCTTTGCTTTGAGCATTTCACGATATCCTTATTATTTTTTTAGAAATATTCTTCACTTTTTTGCTTTTTAATTCTACACAAATTTCGTCAAACAAGCATCACTCATTTTTGATGCGGTTTATTTCTATGAATTTTATATGTTAGAAATATTCCCTTTGAATGTTCTCGAATATGCTTGCTATGATTTGTTAAATATTAGTTTAAACACATTTTATTCATTAGCATACACAGTACATAATATACACTTATTCAATATATACAATGTTGAAATGGATTAGAAAGAAAGATATAAAATCTTATATAGTTCTTCTCCGACTCTATTTTGAATTAACAACAAAGTGATGGCATCAATCTACTGAGACAATGTGTATGAATTTATATAATATGTAAGAGAAAAAAAAACATTAAGGATACCAGACATATATAATGAATTTGGGGAAATATGTTATAATTATAACGTTATCCTAGCACATTAAGAACTGACTTGCTTTGGCTGGTTCTGGAGAAAACAAATTTAATGTGAAAAAAACGACTGTGATAATGAGTACAAGATGTTTCAATGAATCATATTTCGAACCACTTACTTAGTTTGATATATTTATGAACTGCGAAAAATATAATCTCATTTGCTTCAATTGATTTGGATTCCGTTCCGAACAAGATAATCTCTAATGAAGGAGCTATAATATTTGATACTGTATAAAACATAATACGTCTTATGTTTTATCAAATCTTTGACATTCATAAAAATAGTGGTAGGTTGACTCAATTTCGCCACACTGACGAAAAGGCGATTGAAGAATATTCTTTAAAATAAATGTTGATTGAGAGAGGTGCAATTTCTCCGGAGTCGCGTGTGAAGTACTTGATATTTAATGTCACCGTAATAGAATAAAGAATAGCTTTTGCAACTTCCCTGATATAGGACTTAAAGTTGTTTAATGAGTTTGCATTTCTGACATGGTAATTTGTTCCATTCTTTTAATGTTGAAGGAATAAAAGAATTAGTGTAGAGAGAAGTTCTTGAAGGTATAATTTGAAGATTTGTAGAATAACGAAGATTATACTGACTTGTTTCACCTACTGTTTTAGGAACAATATTACACAGATATTCAGGAGAGATCCCATTTACCATCTTAAAGAATGAAATTGATTTATGTTTACGACGGCGCTCAGCAAACTTTCCCAGCATATTTCGTGATAGAGCTCCGATAAGGAAACAAGTTTAATTCATCCACTTACAATTCTTGCAGCCTCATGCTGTATCATTTCGAGTTGTTCCTTTTCATAGTTTGAACAATTGTCCCAAACTACATCAGAATATACTAAAACTGACCGAATAAAGGCAACATATATTACCTCCAATGATCTACGATCAATCAAATACTTAAGACGTGTCATATCATTTATTCGTGACCAAGCCTTGTTTTTAATGTAAGAAATATGTCTATGCCAGGAAGAATCATCTGAAAGAAAACAGCCTAGATGTTTGTGAGATTCAACCACAGGGATACTTACATTAGATATAGACAATGGAGGATGGTGTGGTTTATTAATCTTTTTAGAAATTACCATTGACTCAGATTTATAAGGATTGGACATTTTTATACCACGCGGTCACACCCTTTGCAAAATATGTGCTTTAAAACAAAAATCAAGTGAAAATATTTGTGACTGTGCCTTTTTTGTCGGACATCCATCCAGAGCAAAAGAAAAATTGACTATTAAAATATCAGACAACAAGATATATCAGCAGGTCACACTTACTGGCCAAAAATCTTGTCCAGTCTACAAATTATGATGAAACATGATGAGACATTAAACAATGAATTAGACAGTGTGTCATGTGCAAGACTAAGACCCTTAGCTACAAGGTCAACGTGACACTTAGAGATAAAAAATGTCACTAGCTAGAAAATCTTGTCCTGCCCAAAACTCACGATACGAGAGATGATAGTCAATTGGAAAAAGTGTTAATGATTAATGAGTCCTTGTCAGCAATTATGATAATGAATGCTTTATTTTGATAATACTTTACTTAGTTTTGTCATATTCATACTACTATTTTGTGTCTTAACATATACAGCGGGGACATCAACATTACCAGTTGTACTTTATAATTTGCCATGTTTAGTTATTTGTCTAGAGCTTATCTATCTTAAAAGTCAAAACAATGTAATAAGAACTACATGTGATGTAATTAATGATTCACTTGTAGAAATTGTTTTGTTAAATTTAATACATGATGATGTTTATCTTAAAATCAACATAATGAAATCAATCAGAGTTAATATTAAAATTAATTATCCCTGGTCTAATTACATTAACTGATGATTCAGTGAATTTTATAATTTGAGCATAAAGATGCTCTCATAGCACATTTAATCCCATTAAAATTGCAAATTTTGATATAAAATGATTGAACAAATAACAAATCAGGTCAAAATAATCTGTTAATATTGCTATATCTAAAATGGAATGACCTTTTGCTTGACACGGTTATTTTTGTAGGCTTTGATTGTAGTATAATGACACTCTGATATACATAATACTAAGTAGCTTAATTAGATTTAGAGGAATTATTTTGCGTATGATTTTTTTTCTAGACATTATTAATGTTTTTATTTTTTTACATGACTTTTAGAGACAAATTACTACCTCATTCTTTTCACATCTTACATAAACTCATGCACGCTAAATAGACTCACTTTTTGGCAGAATCAAAAATGAAATATGACATATCCGCTCCTTAAATTTATGTCTATGTATTCTTTCAAAACCATCTTCGAATGAACATAAACCATATACCCGGTATGTAAACATATCAAATACTAGTACTTTTACCGTCTATAATTTTAACTATAAACGTTTGAATTTGATAATATGGAATTGTGCTTGGCAAACGTTTTAGTATCATTTATATACACTTTTTAAAAAACATCCGTACCCTGGCTAATTACTTAAGGAGAATGAACAAATTAGTAAAAAGGGCAATTTAATAAAAATGCTTTGACAGGGATTGGAACCCAAACAATACAAGTTGCAAACATAGTTAAGTAAATTATCTTTATACACCAAAACCGAG